AATCCACTCACCTCAGCCTCCCAAAGTGCTGAGATTACAGGCTGAGCCACCAAGCCCAGCCTCCAGAGGGGTTTATAATGCACCAGTGCAAATGACTGAAAACTGAAATATAATATGTCCCTGTTCTGCAAATGTCTTTGCCAGCCCACCCCTGAGCACCTTCTATCAGTTTCTTCTCTGGATACTGAGCCAGGCCTGTTCTACCCATTTTCTAGTGTGCCAATCACTGAGATGATGAGTTTTGCAGCAGAGAGAGTTTATTCACAAAGCAACCAAGTGAGGAGGCAGGAAAACAGGTCTAATCCACCTTGTCTATGATGAGGTTTAGTGATATTTATGGGATAAAGAAGCAGGATGGTCTAAGGTGTGAAGAAAGGTGATTGGAGGTAAGGGTAAGTGAGGTAATCGGAGATCTGTGCAAGTGTAATCAAGCTTCATGTCTCTTCATAGGATGCATGTTCACAAATGGTGCCATTAGCATGATCTGAGACTGAAGTTTTTGGCCATCTGACATCAAAGGTCACCTACTAGATGCTCACACAGGCCTAATTGAAGGGTCAATGGTCACAGTTGGCTTGAACTGGACAAGAGCTGATCCCCCAGTTCCTGAAAAACACATGAGCAACTGTTACCATAGTGACCTATGTGTCAGAGATCTTATCCATAAGGAAGTTCATGGGAGTTTAGTTGCTTAGTTACATGATTTTTAGCTGTATAGGTTTTAAGATGAGCTAGAAGCATGCAATAAAATCAAATAAGGCAGGTTAAGGTTGGCAGGACTAATTAGGTTAGCCCTTGGTTTCACTCCAATCTTTGTACCATCCTGCTGACTCCCCTTCTTCTTGCCCTTCCATTCCTTCTCATTGCGTCTCCCCTCGAACTCCAAATTCTCCCTCCTCTATGACCCAGAGGAATTCAACACTCCCCATTTCCTACCAGCAAACCATTCTTGACCCAGGCAGCTTTGCAGACCCAGAGACACTCACAGAGAAAACACAGGGCATTCTCCTCTTGACAGCAACTGTCCGTCTAGGAGAGACTTAAAATTGTAAACAGTACTTTGATGTTTTGCTCTTTTTTTTTTTAGTTGGAGTCTCACTCTGTCGCCA